GCTAATCGTGCTTCGGAAGGTGAAGCCTGGCTGGAGGAGGGGTCCCTGGGGCCGCGGCCCAGAAGAATCTGCCTCCCTCCCGCCCCCACCGGCACTCTCTGTGCTGCCCACGTCCCCATCATGAGCTCTTTCTCCTCCTCCACACTGCACACTATGGACTGAAACCTTGGAGCAGCACACTATGGACTGAAACCTCTACTGACTGTGAGCCGGAATAAACCGGTGCACGCCCGTAATCCCAGCACTCCGGAGGCTGAGGCAGGAGGATGGCTGCAGGTTCGAGGCCAGCCTGGGCTGCAAAGTGAGCTCAACGCCAGCCTGAATTGCATAGTGAAACCCCATCTCAAAAAGACCAAAAAAAAAAAACCCTTTCACTGTGGGTGTCTGGTATTGAGCCTCTGCAACAAGAAACTGACTATTACAAGACAGCCTCTTCCAGAAGTCACGTTTACACCCAGATTTAAGGGACAAGCAGAAACAGATCAGGAGGAAGACGTCCCAGGGAGCTCTCTCTAGGACTCTTTCAGAGTCCTGCCAGGCTGGAAACCGGCCTTTCTAAAACTCATTATCTGTTCACTCCATTTGTCTGGTTTTTGTTTTTCAGTAGTGGGATTGGAACCCAAGTAGCTGTATCCCCAGCCCTTTTTGTGTTTTATTTAAGGCAGTCTCACTAAGTTGCCTAGGCTGGGCTTGAACTTACAATCCTCCTGCCTCAGCCTCCCCGGTAGCTAGCCTGTGCCACTGTTCCCTGCACGCTCCCTCCTTTTTGACATGGATGCTGTCTACTGTAATGGTCTGTCGCTTTTTCTTTTATGCATCAGCAGCTTCCTTTGAGAATCTGCCCGAGGCAAAGAATCTTTTCCTAAGACTCGTACCTGATCAGACTCGTTTTGTGTGTGTGTTTTTTCAATCCGATTTTATTGGTACATTTTAGATCCACATAATGATCCCATTCAAAGGAAAGAACCCTGTCCCAGGGGCGCGCACCTGCTGCAGTGTTCTGCTTTGAGCTCGCTCCTCTCAAATGGGACGAGGGGAAATCCAGAAGGTGCTGAGCTTGGCTGAGTGGAGCGGGAGGGAAGTCAGACATTGCGTATCTGAATGTGGGGGCTTTGCACTGCCCGGATGAGGGGGCCTTGGCCAGCCCGAGGTCACTGGGCAGAGGAGGCTGATTTCCAGCAGCTGTGGCCTGCCAGACTGTCTGTGATTGTGGTTGTTTCTCACCTTGAGCCAGAACTTAGAGCCTGTGCTTAGAATAAATGCCCAAGCAGCTGGTTGCCATGGAGGGGCCGCTGGGGGTGGGAGCTCTGTTTGGGGAGCTGCAGCCCCACAGCAGCTGCCATTGCTGACAAAAGAGCTGGCTGGGTGACACGCGTGTGGGGCTCCAGATCCTCGCGGCTGCCATTGCCCTCACGGCAGGGCAGCTGTTCGAGCTGGCACACCCACCTGCCCGGCTACTCCAGCCACAACAGGGGCCGCGGCGGACACCTGTGTGGCCCTGTGGGTGCTGTTTCTCCTGCATTCCCTAAATTCCTAGATGTCTTCCCCAGCTTGGTTCTCTGGGGAGGGAAGGACGGGTTGAAGGGAGGGCAGGGGAATGGGGGGAAAAAAATCAAGTTACATTATGTGCAGGCACAAATTCTCTGTGATGGATGTGATCGTTATGTGTCTCTAAAAGAATAAAATCTGATTGGAAAAAAATAAAATAAAACACAAAGCTGGGTTTGCTTTCTCCTCTACAGCATGCCACAAAAAAAAAAAAAAAAGAAAGAAAGAAGGAAAGGCAGTTTCCAGAAAGTAGGTGGGTAGGTAGACAGAAAAAATAAAATGTTTTCAGAAAAGGACGTCCTTTTTTTTTTTTTTTTTTGGTCTTTTTTGAGACAGGGTCTTGCTCTGCAGTTCAGGCTGGCCTTGAGCTCACTTTGTAGCCCAGGCTGGTCTCAAACTCTCAAGGATCCTCCTGCCTCAGCCTCCCGAGTGCTGGGATTACAGGCGTGTGCCACCACGTGCGGCCCAGAAAAGGACACCCTGAAGGTCTTTTAGTCTCAAATTCATACTATTTCAGTAAGTCCCTGGGGTTGGGGGACTTTTTCAAACTCAGGTTTTTCCTATACATAGACATAGAAGTGATTCATTCAGGGTCTGAGCACCTTCCATGAGCAAATCTCGGATTCTGAGGACAGCTGCGTCCCCTCTCCGGAGGACGAGCCAGAGAAGGGGTCACAGTGTGGAACCTCAACCCGAGCGCCACCCTGTGAGGCCAGCCCCCCTCCAGGAAGACGGGGCCTCGCACACGCGTGTCTGCAGTGGCCCGCATGGTGCCCGTCACCACCTGGAGCTGGAGCTGCTTTAGTGTTCGCTGCCTGCTCTCACTGACCCTGAGTAACGTGGCTTATTTCTTTAGTCGCTTTATTGAAAGAATCACTCGCATCCCATAAAATTCACATTTTTTTTCTTTCTTTGTACTGGGACTTGAACTCAGGACCTTGCACTTTCCAGGCAGGCGCTTATGCCACTGAGCTATATCCCCAGCCCAAGATCCACGTTTTAAAAGCATGCACTTCCTTTGTTAGTACATTCACAAAGTTGTACAGCCGTCAGCGTTACCTAATTTCAAAATAGTTTCATCACGCTGGAAACACACCAGACCCCTTGTAGCAGCTGTTCCCCATTGACTCCTGCCCCTAACCTCTGGCAGCCGCTGACCTGCGTTCTGTTTGTGTGGATTAACTATTCTGGACATTTCACATGAGTGGAATCATATGCTAGGCAGCCTCTTAAGACGACCTTTTTTCATTCAGCACGCCCAAGGCCCATCCCTGTGTGACATGTGTGCTACTCCTTTGCATGGATTATTGTTGATCCATTTATCAGTTGCTGAACGTTAAGGTCATTTCCTTCTGTGGGCTGTTATGAATAACGCTGCTATGGGTATTCGTATACACGTTTTTTTTCATGGGCTTGTGTTATCATTTCTCTTAGTGGGGAGTATACCAAGGATTGGAATTGCAGGCTCATGTGGTTACTCTGAGTTTTAACATTTTGAGGGCCTGCCAAACTCTTCCCCTCAGTGACTGCACCATGTTAACTTCCTATCAACAGTACAGGAGGGTCCCCGTTTGCCCATATCCTCATCAACACTTGGTTTATTTTGTTTTGTTGAGGCAGGGTCTCATTATGTAGTTCAGGCTGTCCTTGAACTCACTTCGTAGCCCAGGCCGGCCTTGAACTCACAGCAATCCTCCTGCCTCAGCCTCCCAAGTGCTGAGATTACAGGTGTGCGCCACCACACCTGGCTGTCCATTTTTAAATTAGGTTGTTTCTCTTTTTATTGTTGTAATGTAAGAGTTCTTTGTATGTTCTAGATACCGTGTCTTGGTGATTTTCCAATATTTCCTATTCTGTGAGTTGTCTTTTCACTTTCTTGATGGTATCTTTTATTTTATTTATTTATTTATCTATTTTTGTCTTTTTTGAGACAGGGTCTACTATGCAGTTCAAGCTGGCCTTCAATTCGCTGTGTAGCCAGGCTGGCCTGAAACTCACAGCCATCCTCCTGCCTCAGCCTCCTGAGTGCTGGGATTACAGGCGTGCACCACCACGCCTGGCTAGTTTTCCTATTTAACAAAATCTTGATAAAATGTTTTCTAAATAGCAGCTATGGTAGATATGTGAGCAGAATTTTTCCTGTCCTAAAAATCTTTGTTCTGATATTTTTGGGGCAGGTCTTTATTGTGTTAGCTGTATATAATTCAGATAACATGGCACTGTATAAATCACAAAGATTTACACACCTAGCAGTTGCTTCTGGGGTGAGTTGTTATGTCTGGAACTTTTGTGTGCAAGTAAAAAGGCAAAACAGCAAGTTAGTGAGTTCAAGTGAAGGATACTTGGGAGTTCCCTGTACCATCATGTCAACAGTATTTTAAAGATTTTTTTGTTTTTCTAAAAACTGTCACTCACTGCGCGTAGTAGCACATGCCTGTAATCTCAGCATTTGGGAGGCTGAGGCAGAAGGATTGCTGTGAGTTCGAGGCCAGCCTAGACTACAAAGTGAGTTCAAGGCCAGCCTGAACTGCATAGTGAAACCTGTCTCAAAAAACAAATAAAACAAATCAAAAACTGTCACTCATAATCCTAAACCCAGAGGGTATTGGCTGTGAGCCCTGACAGGTTACTGTCTATGTACTACATTTTTTTTTCTCATACTTGGTATTCAACCTAGGGCTTCACACATGGTAGGCAAGTGTTCTACCTCCCCAGCCCTCCCTTTTTTATTTTATTTCTTTGAAACAGGGTTTCACTGTGTAGCTCAAACTGGCCTTGAACTCATTATGTAGCTCAGGCTGGCCTTGAACTCTCAGGGATCCTCCTGCCTTAGCCTCCCACATTCTGGGATTGCAGGCGTGTGCCACCACATCAGGCTCCCCAGCACTTAGGAATTTTTATTTTGAAGTAAGATCTTGCTATATTCCTCAGCTAAACTTGAATTTGCTATCCCTCCTGTCTCGGGCTCCTGAAAGCCAGGATTGCATGCATGTGTCACTGTGCTCTGCCATATGCCAGGCATTCGGCGTACATTTTTCATGTAATCCTGAGCTGTGGAGGAGTAAACACAGGGAAGGCAGGTGAGTGGGTCTCAGGACCGGGTTGAGTGTCGGAACAAGAATTCAGATGTGGCCTCTGGCCTCCAGGCTTTCGTTCTTGTGCGGTCTGTGTGTCTCAGGTCGAAAGCCTTCCCCAGGGAATGCCTGGCTTCCTGTCCTCTGGTCACTCACCGAGCCTGTGCTTGGGGAGGGCAGATGGGCGATAGCCCAGGAGTTTCAGGAATGGAGGGAGAGAGGGGCTGCCCGCCTGAGACTTGAAGCAGGACCACCAAGGGTGTGGAGGGAGCTCCTGCCCCCACTGCTCTGCAGCAGGCCCTGAGGCCTCAGTGTCCTGGGGCATCCGAGGCGCTCCAGAGGCAGCCCTGACCCCCTTCTGCCCCACTTGTCCCCCAGGAACTGAAGCTGCCCACCTTCCAAGCCCACTCCCCGCTCCTGAAGAGCCGCCGGTTCTTTGTGGACATCCTGACTCTGCTGAGCAGCCACTGCCGGCTGTGCCCTGCGGCCCGGCACCTGGCCATCTACCTGCTGGACCACTTCCTGGACCGCTACAACATCCCCACCTCCAAGCAGCTGTACACTGTGGCCATCTCCTGCCTCCTGCTCGCCAGTAAGTGCAAACCCACCCCTTCCTCCGTCCGGTGCCGTCTGCCACCATGGCAGCGAGCCTTTCAGAGGGCTTTGCACGTCTTCTGTGTTCATCGTTTGCTCGGTGTGAACTCTATTGATAATTGCCAGCACTTCCAGCATCGGGAATGCATCAGACTAAGTGGCAAGGATTTTAGCAGCTTGATCTGAATAAATGCACACGCTGGGCCTTAGGAGACAAATACTTTTAGTAGCCCATCTTAGCAAGGCCCAGAGAATTTAGGAAACTTGCTTCGAGCCTGGCATGGTGGTGCACATCTGTAATCCCAGCACTCTGGGAGGACAAGCAGGAGGATTCCAAGTTCAAGTACAGCGTGGGCAACTTACACCTTGTCTCAAAATAAAGGCTGGGGTATATCCCAGTGCAAAGGCCTCGGTCCAATCCCCAGAGCAAGGAAAGAAAGAAGGGGGTGGGGGGTGGGAGACGAGGCAGAGGGAGAGAATGGAGTGTAGAAGGAAGGAAAGAAGGGAGCTAGTTGCTGTGAGTTGCCCTGCCCATGCATGGCAGACAAGATTGAAGGCCGGAAGTGCTCGATGTCATGGAGATGTGGGTAGAAATAGGATTGCTTCATTTGGCCCTAAGAAAACCCATTCTGTAGTCACGAGGCCTGAGCACAGCCCTCTTGGGGTTTGTACCTCACAAAGGGGCCTCGCTGAGAGCACGGCCTGGCTGAGGCCATCTGTCCGCCCTGGGCGGTATTACTGTTCAGCGCGCTCCTGTTTGAATGCCGTCCTTAGCATACAGGGCTGCCACGCCAGCCTGCCATTTGAAATCCTACTTGTGCCTCGGGATAAAGACCAGCCCTCAAGTCCCTGCCTCTCTGACCGCGCGCCTTTTTCCTCTCCACCCTCTGGGTTCTAGCCCGACTGGCCGAGCCCCTTCCTGTCCAGAGCTTTCTTTGGGTGAGCTGTTCTCCCTGCCTGGGTGGCTTCTTGTTGCCGTTGGCCCCTGAACCTGGTGCAGTGTCGCTGTGGCCCTGCACCCCGGAACCTTCCCGCCCTACCCTGCACAGGTCACGATTGTAACCTACAGACCCGAGGCATCGTGGCTTTGAATGAACCCCCGCTGCTGCCACTAGCCAGTGAGTTTCAGAGGGAGAAAAGGAGCTTGGCACTTAGTACGACCCTATAAGAGCAATTGTGCCATTAGGGCAATGCCTGGAGCTGAGGGTTCCTTGCGAACCTGGCTTCTGTACCTCTCTAGGTTGCCCTTACTGTGGAGTAGAAGAAGGTGCCGCCGGGCATGGTGGCGCACGCCTGTAATCCCACCACTCGGGAGGCTGAGGCAGGAGAACCGTCGGGAGTTCGAGACCAGCCTGGGCTACAAAGTGAGCTCAAGGCCAGCCTGAACTGCATAGTGAGACCCTGTCTCAAAGAGACAAAAGAAAAAAAAAAAAAAAGAAGAAGAAGGCCCCAAAGGGCCCGGGCTCCGAGGAGCCAGCTGCAATGAGGACATCTTATTGTATTATTTCCATCAGGTCTTTCACTCTCTCCCTCTGTCTGCTGTGGTCCTGCTGCATTGTATTTCCAGGCTGGTGGCGCCCGTGTTCTGCGGTAGCTCTCCCTGTTCCTGGCCAGAAATCCCCATCAGCAGCAGCACCAGCACCTGCGCCCGCACCCAGTTGGAGAAGCGCAGCTTTAGAGTTGCCCAAATCTTCCTGCCTCCCACCTGGAACCTTCTGCCTGCTGTTGGTTACGATCTCTTTGACGGCTGTGGTTTACTCTCCCAGTCTGTGACTTTTCTCTGCCTCGGGCTGGCTGTATTTCCTGTGTTGTGCATGGGACCCGGGCTCCCTGGAAACGCAGCCTGTGTGCCACCTGAACCCCAAATTGATAGCACCCCCTTTCGCCTGTGGAGGACGCGTGGGGCTGGCAAGACATCAGCGAGGCCAGAATGGGCATCGCATTTCAGACGGTGGGGGAAATCTGCGCCGGGGCTTTGGCCTGCCGCTGTCTGTGATCTGTGGGCCGCATCCAGGCTGTGGGGGCTGGGGCTTTGTCTTTCCAGGGGGCAGTGGGGCTCTCCCCAAGCGTCTGTCTGGGGGCTCAGGACATGAGGCACACGAGGGAGACTGCTTTGTGCTGCTGCCGCCGTGCCGGAGGGCGGGGCCTTTGACGAGAAGCAGATGCCCTCACCCACATGTCTGTGGGCGCAGCCAGCCTCAGGGTGGCAGGGACGGATTTTCAGGACACCTGCCATATGCTCCAGAGGCCCAAGGAAAGAAAAGTTTCCATGGCAGCCTGAAATCCTATTCATCCCTCCCGCCCTCATCCCTGGCCGACAGGCAGACAGAAGGGGGTCACCTTGCTTCGGGACATTTGGAGTTCTGCTAATTTGGTCCCAAAGTATTGTGCGATAAGAGCTAGGATTCCCACCCCACCTGTGAGTACCCAGCTTTCTCAGGCTGCCTCCAGATCAGGGCTTTTGCAGAGAGGGAGCCTTCCTACCTGCCTACAGTCCCTCCTGCCCCGGTGATACAGGAATCAGACAAGGGCCCGCGTCTGCAAGCCTGCAGAAGGAGATCAAAAGCCAGAACTCATAGTCACTGCACAGAGCGCCCAAGGGAAAGCCATCCCCTTGTCTGCGTGGCTGAGCTAATCGCATCTCCCACCTTAACGCAGGATAGAATTGCACTCCATAGGATCAATGCAGATGTACTGTAAGGACAGGAAAGCCGCCCTCTCCTTTAACCTCATACATCGCTCCACAGCTGTTTTGCGGTTATTCTTGTGACTGAACTGAAAGGACGGTTTGACAGTATGAGGACCCCAGGAATTCCAGGTGAGACGACCCTGACCGTGAGCCCTGACAGTCGTCGTCACGGAGGCCACAGCTTCGCAGCGTGCTGGTTCCTTACCGTGCCGGTCCCAGTGTGCTCCCAGCCAGCGCTGTGCACACTTCGTTTGGAGCCCTCAACCCCAGCCCCTGTGGTCCCGCTCTCAGATGCCCGCGTGTAGGTTCAGAGAGGCCAGCAAACCTGCCCAAGGGCACACCACTTAGTGCTTTTCTTTTTTTTTTTTAATTGAGGTATATGGCCTGGATGTAGCTCAGCGGTGCAGCACCTGCCTGGCAAGCGCGAGACCCTGAGTTCGATTCCTGGTACCAAAAAAGAAAATAGTAAATAAATAAATAAATAAATAAACCTAGGTATAATTTGTATTCTAATAAAAATGGACTGTTTTAAAGTATACAGCCGAGCCAGGGATATAGCTCAGCGGTGTATGCGCCTGCCTGGCAAGCACAAGGTCCTGAGTTTGATTCCTGGTACCAAAGAATAAATAACTAAAGTATACAGCCAGGCACAGTGGTGCACGCCTGTAATCCCAGCACTCGGAAGGCTGAGGTAGGAGGATCGTTGTGGGTTCAAGACCAGCCTGGCCTACAAAGTGAGCTCAAGGCCAGCCTGAACTGCATAGTGAGACCCTGTATCAAAAAGACCAAAAAAAAAATTTTTTTTTAAATTAAAAAAAATATAAAGTGTACGATGCAGTGACATTTTGTTATTTCCAGAACATCAGCCTAAAAGGAACCTTGTGGCCAGTTCAGCAATTGCTTTCCATTCCTTTGCTCCCCCAGCCCTGGCACCCGCCAACCTGCTTTCTGTCCGTGTGGATTTGCCTGGTCCGGCTGTGGTAGAGAAGGGACCGTACAGGGTGTGACCCTCGGGGTCTGGCGTCCCTCTCTTCCCATAGCGTTGTCGGGGGCCTCCCCGTGGTGGCACATGCTGTACGCGTCCCTCCGTGAGGCTGGCTCGTCCTCCTCGGTATGTGTTGCAGTTCGGGCGTGCAGTCCTCTGTGGAGGAGTGTTTGGCTCACTTTCGCCCCTTGCCTGCTGTGAATAGCGTTGCTGTGAACGTTTGGGTGCCGGTTCTATTTGAACATTGGTTTTCTGTATTTTCAGAAAGGGGTGACCTACAGCTCTTACGTTAACTCTGTATTGAACTTTTTGAGTTTTGCTTTGGCCCACTGGTCGCTGCCCAGAGGTGACTGGACTGTTGAGTCCTTCGCCCTAGAGTAGGGACCAGCCAGGGAAGGAGCGTGAGTGGGAGAGAAAGCCAGAAAGACAAGAGAGGCCTTTCAGCTAGGGGCCCATGCCTTAAGGATGAGGCCTTATTATTGGGCAAGAATGTGAGATGCAGGCTGGGCGTGGTGGCGCACGCCTGTAATCCCAGCACTCGGGAGGCTGAGGCAGGAGGATCGCCATGAGTTTGAGGCCAGCCTAATGAGTTAGTTCAAGGCCAACCTGAACTACAAAGCAAGACCCTGTCTCAAAAAACTAAATAAAGTATGAGATGTTTTTATTGTAAAAAAAAAAAAAAATACAAAAGCTATAGAAGTACCAACTTCTATAAAAGTAAAAAATTACTTTCCCCGTATTCACGGTCCCATCCCCACAGGTTGGTGTGTACCCTTGCAGACATAGATGGTCTTGTCACTGGGAAAACCATTTTCACTCTGAGGGAGGATTATGTGCATGTGAACTGCCCAGTGAACAAAACCGCCAGACACCCTCTCTTCTTCGCCCCCTCATCTAATCCCTACACCGTCACCCCCCCTCCCGGCTAACTTGTGTTTTCTCTTTGTCACTTCCGGCCCCCACTCCCTCCGGGTTTCTCACTGCCCGGTTGTTTTCCTCTGAACCGGACGGAGGCTTCTGGTCCAAAAAAGCGGTGGAAAGTGGGGGTGACAGACTCTTCTGCTGCTGAGGGTAGAACTGTGACTTCCCATTTTTTATAGGTGAGGCTGAGCCCTTTGCCGGCCTCTCTGTCTGCCCGCTTCTTGCTCCCAGAAGGAGGAGGGCGTTTCTGGGGCCTCTCTGCAAGGAAAGGACCCCACTTCCGGTCCTGGTGCCCCTGCAGGCCGGGGTCCCGCAGCCCCAGAGAAGGTCTGTGATACTGCGCTGAGCAAACCTCTAAAAGCCCAGCTTCCGACTGTAGGTTTTCCAGTGTACTCATTTATTA